GTGTGTGTGTGTGTGTGTGTGTGTGTGTGTGTGTGTGTGTGTGTGTGCATGCGTGCGTGTTTTTTTGAGAGCGCATATGTGGATTAAGAATAGATGGATGTGGTCGTGCGCGGACACACGCACACGTATGCGCATATAGCCACGTATATATGTATGTATGCAGTTGTGTCGCGTCTCATTTGGTGTATTATAACAAACAGAAGTCTGATATGCTATTCCGTTATTACAATATTCTTATTTTCTTTTTTTGTCTTTACGCCATGTTTGTCTTCATATTCCGGGGGTGCGTGTAAAATACAAATGATTTGCGTATGTTTTCATTTTTTCTTTCCTTTTTCAAATAATCATCCAGAACAGGGGGTGTCTGGGCTCCAGGGACAGGGACCAACTACAGCCCGCACTTACAACTCTTACTAATTAACTAACAGACTAACAATAACAACAAGTCAACACTCAAAATGTGTGCTGTATGTGTTCATGCATTTGTAAACATTACCTTTTACATCCTACTTCAATCTGTGACTATCATTATCAAATTCGTAGTCAGTCATCTTTAAAAACTTCTCTTTCTTTTTCTTTTGTAAAAGAATACAAGAAACAAATTTACTTTTTACATAAAATTTAGAAGAAACAATACACTCTTTTTTATTTCCCTTTCAAAGGGAATAGATTCACTTTAGATATTTGTTTTCAACGATCGATTTTTTAATTTTTCAAATATAAAAAAAGAAACACATTAACAAATAAATATATTATAATTTGGATCCGAGTTTACCTTGCTACTTGGATACTGTCATTGAAAAATTTACTGTACAAGTGGGTTTTCTCTCGATTGTGAGCAATACTCTTTTTTTTCATTTTCCCCTTTTTTACCCAATAGAACCCTCGCGTGACCGTAATCAAAACCTAATCTGGGAGACATTCGCAGAGCCGTTGCAACGTTTCATACTCGCTACTTTTGTAAAACTTTACCTGTGTGACTCTTAATAATAATAGTTTCACTGACTGTACACATTTATAGACCAACAATAGAAGGTCTTGCAGCACGCTTGATAGCGTGCCCCACGCACAAATACACACAGACACATTCCGTTTAAAGACTCTCTCTCTCTCTCTCTCTCTCTCTCTCTCTCTCTCTCTCTCTCTCGCGTGCGCGCGCGCATACTCACTAAATATCACATTCTCGCCCTACGTCTTCTGCTTGTCTACACCTATTACATTTTCTGTTTCCTCAAAGTTGGACTTCCGTTTTTTCAATTTCTAACTTCCATTTGTAACTTCTCCGTTTTTCTCCCACGTTATTTATTTCATTCGAGCTACCTAACACACATGCTTCGTCATATAGATTCAAAACATCTAGTCATCGCGTAATAAACCGCAGGCTTCCATGAGTTCTCTTAACTAATACAAGCCATCACAATCCCTATGTCAACATCGCTGATCTTCATCACTTGGCAGTAAACAATGTGACAATGCAGTAGTGGTACTTAGATTAGTATTATCATAATAATAATAATAGTACGGGGTGGGTGGGTGGTCACACTCCGATATAATAATTAGTCTCAGTGGCACATCACTGTACATAATCACAATAACAGCGGGCGATGGTGGTGGCGCAGAACACAGTTGCTGCGTATCATTAATATGAAAAAACATTTACAATTATTTGAATTCGATTAAGAGCGATAATAATACAAATGGATGATCTTTTTCCTCCCCTTCGTCGAGTTTCCTCCCCCTCATCCTATTATTCTCTCTCCCTCTCTTCCTTTCTCTCTCTCTCTTTCTCTCTCTCTCTCTCTCGCTCTTTACGTTTTGTCAGTCTGATTTCATCTTATTTTTTCCCCTTATTTTATATGTTTTTTGTTTCTCACTTCATCTATCATGCATTTGTTCGTGCATATTTTTTTATCACTCACAGGATTGCAGAAGTTAGCTCCACGACTGGTAAGAGTCTTGATACCATTCGTGATCGTCGCCGGAAACACCGCCGAGTGTGCCGGCTCTACTTCCGAAAGCTATGTCACCGCCACCACCACCACTGCCACCATTTACACTCGCCAATCCATATGCATTGCCCAGTGGTTGTTGGGCGAGGGGCTGGTTTCCCCAATTGCTCTGGAAGCGACGCTTAGATTCCCCCTGGTTCTGGTGACCCCCGTCAAATTTTCGTTTACCTGCTGTAAAAAAAATTATCAATATGATAAAACCGATAATCACGTGGAAGAAAATTGGAAAAAATACATTCATATTAAATTAAAAAGCACTCTTTTTAACATTGTGTGACACTTGCAAAATATTGCACAAAGAAAAGTGAAGGAAATTTTAAGAGTTCTTGTGTTAATATATGTATGTGATGTACTCGTAAAATGTTTATATGTACGGACGTACTGTGATAATTGTGTAGAATAGCACGCCTATGAAAATAAAAAAAAGTTAATCAATATCTTCTATAGACTTTACAAAATTCCAAGAATTATAAACCTTTGAATTAATACGTACGTGATATAAGCACAAAAAGAGTCACTAACCTAGTATTTTATTATTATCAAGTGGATGGGACTTGGATACTTTGGTGGGAAGATGGATTGGGTGGTTTACTGTAAAATAACATTACATGAACAATTCGTGACAATGTACAAAAGGACATGTAATCATTTGACAAATTATTATATATGCACTTTGAAAACCTCAGGCTGAGCGAAAATATCTGTCATTAGCAAATCTGCAAAAAAGAATCAAAATTACGTATCTCCTCAAATAATATAAAATTTAATAAAAACTCTGTAAACACGTAAGCGTGTTAAATATTAAGAGATTATTCTGGATTCACGTCAATTATGTTTAGAATAGTTAATTGTGATTGTTGCATTTGCATTTTGGAAATGAGGAGATAAACGTTCTATAAACATATCAACATTACGTACACGTTAATATTGGAATATATTTTTGTATGCAAATACAAAAAAAAGATCAATATATTGGGAGAAATCGATATATGTACATTGGAAGAAGTTGCTATCCTCGATGAAAAAAATTATCCGGAAAGTATGTCTAGATATTGCGTTTTTTCTTCTTTATGAAACAGTTGGACAAGAGCAAAAATTTACTGGAAAGCAAAAGCGAATATCTAACGAGAGCTTTCTAGCGATGATAACACGGGCTGATGAGGTTTGACTTTTTTTAACCTTAGATCTCAATGGTCGTTTTCGAAGGATTTTAGCGTGCTGAAACCGAATCCGTTGCCTGAATTGCTTTATTACATCAGATTTCGGAGATATCTGTACCTAAAAGTGCCAAAAAGACCATTTTTCGCCTTTTTTAGATTAAAATATAACTATAAAACGTATGTGTTAGGCCCATTTTCTCAACGGATTCGAATTCTGAAGGAAAAAATCTATAGAAACTATACGTTATACCTTAAAGATTGATTAAAAAAAAGCTCTGAATCCGGAGTTCAAAATACGAGACAAGCTAATATTTGTATTGGTAGATAGGGCTCTTATACGACATAGAAGTTTAAAAAGAAAAAATGTATAATAAATGAAAATAGATGAAAAATACTTATAAAGAAACGTATCAAATGTATGTAAAAAATTAATAAATTTTTCAAAGTAATCTACTTTTTATAAAATTTAGAAATTTTTCAAGAAGCTTCCTTAACGCTTGGAAAAACTATTGACTTTCTTTAATCCTTTCGATACGGAGCGACCGGGACGCGAACGGCCCCCAAGTGGCCGAAGCGTCGATCCGCCGATATACGCAATACGCAATTCGGCCGAGAGCTAGGCACTCGACGTTCAATGCCTTCAATTATTATATGTAATAAAACTCAATAAAAATTTTTTTTTTTTAAATTCATCAACAAAAGCATTTCAGGTTAACATTTCAAGTTGCTCGGCCGCAGTGAGCAGCATGTGGATAGTGATTATAGTCACTCTCCGTATCGCAAGGGTCAATGATATATTATTTCAGACTGCCTTAAAAAAGGCAACAAATTCAAGATTTCACGCTGAAGATGCCTTGAGCCATTCGTAGTGGCTCGCAGGTGTAGCGAGGCAGCAACTAGCGCGCGAATAGAAGCGTCATGGAGGTAGGTATAGAATTTTTAAATTAATCTTCAAGATATGGCCGGTATTCATAGTCGGTTCTTATTTTAAGACCGTCTTAAGTAATGTCTTAAGATGCTAATACAGCTTTGTGATTGGTTAATGACATCTTAAGATTGTACTTAAGACGGTCTTAAATATAAGAACCGACTATGAATACCGGCCTATAACGTATGATTTCTATAGATTTTTTCCTGCAGAATTCGAATCCGTCGAGAAAATGAGCCTAACATACGTATCGTTTTATAGTTATTTCAACTTAAAGAAATCGAAAAATGGCTTTTTTGGCACTTTTAGGTACAGATATCTCAGAAACCTGACGTGATCGAGCAATGCAGACAACGGATTCGGTTTCAGCACGTCAAAATCCTTCGGAAACGACCACTGAGATCTGAGGATCAATTGCAGGTAAAAAGATTCATATAGAAAATGATTATGTGATGCAATAATCTATATAAAATTGCAATTATTACTATAATAGCAATATAGCAATATAGTAGTTGCAAGAAAAGACTTTATATACATTTGCCGAAAACTATTGTAGCGAAATACCTTAGTTAGAATGATAAACAGCGCTAAAATAGCTAAACAATACTATCAGCTTATGTTGTAATATTATAAGTATGTTGTAATATTATAAGTACGTCTAAAAGTATGTTACACCACTTTTCAACGTTGTAAAGAATATTTGTATTATTAAGAACTTTTGTATATTAATTCCATGAAATCGAATTGAATTAATAAAATAGTACACAGTTCCAGATCTCTCTTACTTTGTTTCTCTCTCTCTCTCTCTCTCACTCTCTCTACCTCCCGCTCTTGCTCTGTCTCTCTAGCATTTAAATGATTAATCCCTTAAGAAAGACAAATGCCATTTACGGTCCGGACTGGATCTTACATTTAATAGCCTAACAGCATTGCGCAAATTTTATATACTTTTTTCCAAACTCAGTAAACAGCGCGCCGATTTTTTTGTCAGTCTTTAAAATACAGCTTCTAGTTACAACAATAAATCCACAAACTTAAATCGATAATCGATTTAAAATGTGATGATAATAAGCATCCTTATTAAAATTACTGTTATAAGAATTTATTGCGAAAAATATAATCTCAGCCAATATAGAGAGATTCCAGGTTCGAACCCTGGCTGAGATGATATTTTTCGCAATAAATTCTTAAGGCTTCTGGTCCCTGCTGATGCTGTCCTTATTTAATGAGTCAGAAGCGAGAATTAACATGTTGAAAATTTTTGCATGGTATTTCCAAATAAAAAGATATTTGCATAAAATAACACGAGATCACTTCAACGCACTTCAAAAATACTCCCGAGTTCTATCCATTTCCCTTGACAGTTAATAAACAGTCGTAAAATGAATGTAATACGAAGCTTAACCGTGCACGTTATGCGCCTGTGGATATGATTAAGCTTTGCATTACATTCATTTTACGACTGTTTATTAACTGTCAAGGAAAATAGATAGAACTCAAAGTATTTTTGAAGTGTGCTGAAGTGATCTGAAGTGTTATTTTTTGTGCAAATATCTTTTTATTTGGAAATACCATGTAAGAATTTTCAACGTGTCACTTCTCACTTCTGACATCATTAAAATAAGGACAACATCAGCAGGGACCAGGAACCTTAACAGTGATTTTAATAAAAATACTTATTAGCAGCAAATTTTAAATCAATTATAGATTTAAATTTGTGGATTTACTGTTCCGATTGGGAGCTGTGTTTTATAATCGACAAAAAAATCGGCGCGCAGTTTACTTAGTTCGGAAAAATATATATAAAATTAACGCAATACTATTAGGCTATTAATTGTAAGATCCAGTCCGGACCGTAAATAACATTTTTCTCTCTAAGTAATTGTATATCGTAATGATCAAGTTTTTCTTATTATTGTTAAATGATTGTTAAATGATAACGTATGTTTCATATCAAGTAATCAAAGTATCATGTATTTGTCAGAATTTTTCAAAAAAATGTCTTCGTAATATCGTCGTTAACAGAATTTTCACACAATGAAAGCTACAAATACAACGGTATCGATATACAAGCTTTCAGATGTGTCGTAATGATTGACGATGCGTGCGTGTGTGTGTGTGTGTGTGTGTGTGTGTGTGTGTGTGTGTGTGGGTGTGTGTGTGTGTGTGTGTGCGCGCGCGGTAATTAAGAATTAAATGTAATCAGTGTAAAAGACGATTTATTGTGGAGATACAGACCATCCTCACCTGGTAAACTTCCCTTGGCGCGGACCCCCCCACGAGCGGCCAGCCGCTGGACCCCACGGGCCCCTGAAGCTGCGGGGTTGCGTCCCCCCCTGACTGGCCCACGGGCTTGCGGGCCACCGATTCGGCCACGTGGCACTACTCCACGGCCACGACCAGCCTACCCAAATAATACATTCAAATTGTTACCCCATAATTGTATAATTATTTGCGTTATATTTACGTTTTATTTAACTTTCTTTTCTCTTTCTTATATATCTTTATGCGTATCTTCTGCCCTATATGTAATTTAATTATGCACAGTATATCAAACAATATTAACACTTAAAAATGTAGTAGTAATAGTAACAAGATACAATAAAAACAATAATCAGTCATTGGTATATCGCTGAACGATAGGAGTTTCTCCAATACATATATTGTGCATTTTATTCGTAACTATTTTTGGAACGTATATGTACATTCAAGGCTTTTATATATACGTATACATCCATGACGATATAGCGTGAAAAGACGAATAAATAACAGAAAAAGTGAAAAAGGAAACGACAAAGTTATGGGAAGATGGAGGGAGTGGAAAAGGAGAGGGAGAGGGGAGAGAGAGAGAGAGAGAGGAAATAGAGAGAAAGAAAAAAAAGAACGTGGCAGAAAAGGTAAATCACCTATAACCAAATCTTTACTAACCACGTTTTTACATACAGCAGTAGGAGTTAGCAGAGTTATCCAATGTAGTAAAGCGAAAAGCGAACTGATTGGTTGGCGTAGGAACTTTTAAGCGACACAAGCTATTGCACTGGCAGCTAAAACAAAATTCAACCAAAAGGCGTATTATATAAATAAGCAGCGCAGCATTGTTAAAAAGCGTTAAAACAAATGTGATTTAAGCGTAAGCTATGATTTTTATGTACATGGATGTGAGGACGATGGGAGGCCAAAGCGAGAACTGCAAAACATGTTCACTGGTGCTATATACGGGGGACGCAATCCTCTCTATTCCATCTATCTCCGTGGTCTTTACTATACCTATGCACAATTCAGTGTACAAGTAATAAAATATCATTAATAAAGTATTCACGTGACACATACGATAAACCATTTGCGGTTCATTGATTCGAATGACGTTTATCACTCCTTAATTCCAATACTGCTGTTCATAATTTGCGATAAACTTTTCCTCCTGTTTGATAAAAATCAAATTGGCATATTGAATTGAGTTATTTTTTTAAGTCAAAACGATCCACGTATACGTATACGCTCTGGTAATAACCGCATCATCTCTTATGAACAAGTAGAGCGAATTAAATTGAACAAAAAAGTCTTCTTCTATCATTTTGCGATTTTCGTAATAATTAATGAAAATTTAATTAATAAAGATCTACAAATGAGCGTACATCAAAACGGTAGCGGACTAGAGGACTTTGCTATTCGATTTAATCTACTCTACCCGCCTACAAGAAACGATATGGTTATTATCAGACACTCTGTATGTAGCGCATATGACTTATTGAGTGACTGTTCTTTAAATACAATATATGCACAGTAAAAAATTGATTTGAATTTTTCCCTACAAGAAACTAAATTAAAGAATCCGATGCATACAACGCATACAAATCACGTTATCGTTTACACACAATTATGTTTAATAATAACAGAAGAAAACTGAGAAGAAAATAAAGTGACGTTAGGGATCAAATCAGAAATATTCTTAAATTAAATAAGAATGGAGAAATTCTATTCTATTCGCCATCGTTAAGGCTCCTGGTCGCCGAGAACTCCGCGGTGACGGTGGCGACGTAGCATAGCGGTAGAAATAAGAATTCTGTATAATAGAGAATTCTGTCCTTTGTGACATGTTGACAACCCTATTTTGTCGTGCGTACAATTTCCTTATTATTCGCTCTGTACTGCTATAATGTTTAACGTATTCGTGAAACTCATACAATTGATCGTAAAGTAAGATTTGCAAGGAATACATATGCGGAGGGACATTTTCGACTCCTTTCGATAATCGTCAAACGGCTTGTTTTCCCGTATGTTTAGGCTTCGTTTTATGGTTGTTTGTTTATTGTCGAGGGAAAAGGATAGTTTTCGGTCAATTTTAGAAGTGTTCTGAAATGATCTATAATAATTTTATATCAAAATGCCTTTTTATTTGAGAATGGCACACACGACAAAATAGGATCATTTCTTGCCTCGATAGCAAGAAATTCAATATGGCCGCGGTGATTACCCAGGAGGTCCTTAATTCGAATTAAATTTTTCAAACAGAGAAATAAAAATTTCAAACGTAAATGAAAATTTTTCAAACGTAAATAAAAATTTCTTTTTACTACAAGAAAATTTATTAAAAGATAAATATCTCTATCATTTTTTATTAAAAGAAAATATATTCGGTAATGCGTAAGACAAAAAAAAGTATAATAGTAAAAATTTATGTGTAAGAAAAACATGATAAATGAGTCGGATCGTGCAAATGTTATAAAATGAAAATGATAAATAAGGAACATCTAGAAGAGACTAGTATATACTTTCTCGAGAAACAAACGAAATCGTCGAATGCGATCGGAATCACGTTCAAAAGAAATAATAAAAAAAACAAAATTAATGTTAGAGGCGTAAGATAATGCGAAGATAATTCGAAGAAGATTCTCGTTTGCCTATTTCTCCTCTAAAGTAACGAGATTATAACTATTATATGTGTACATCATATAGCACGGGGAATATAGCAACACCAGATAACATGTAAGAAACCTAAGTGCACATGTGTTATCGCAATAGTGAGACTGCCAAGAGAAAAAGTTGACCGCAATATAAAAATATAATAAAAATTAAACATAAAATAAATTTTTTTTCACGCAGAGCGCCCATACGCTCCCTTTTTTCATGTTTGGATAACCCTGCAACTTGACATAGAAAAAGTGTAACATCATATCCGAGCCACGAGACGCAACGTCGCTCTACAAAAAAAAAAAACAGATTACTCGTACATAGACTGGAATATAATAAAAGACAACGGCGACATATAAAAAGTCCTGTACACTGCTTTCTGCCTACATCTGGAATTCTCCTGAAGCTGCGCTAGAATAATTATGGCGGTGGAATAATATTAGGGGATCCTGCAACACTATAAAATGTGCGATCTTCTTCCTTGGGAGGATTTACAGACATTTGTCTTCCGTTTTTTATTCTGTATGTCTTTCCTATCTTTTCTCTTTTCTTTTTTTTCTTTCTTTTCCTATATGATATTTGTAATATGTTCCCTATTTTAGTTTAAATTGCTTTTCCCGGCTGTATTTTGCTTTGAAAATTTAGAATGGGTCTACCATGGCTCAGATATGATTTGCAAGCAATTTGAAAGTGGCAATGTGTTCGGATTACAAGGTCTAATCTTAACATCGAAGCCTTGATGTTAGTATAGTATAGATTCATATAGGGTCTAATAAATACAATACATTCATAGTGCGCTCTTAATGGCATTTTCTCCTGCCCCCCTCTCTCTCTTTCCCGCCTCTGTTCCCCTCCCCTCCTTTTCACCTCTCCTTCTTTCTCTCTCTCTCTCACCTTGGATTTATTAGAAATTTTAAAGCTCAGACAAGTACTATACTGTGAATATGATGCATTTAACACTATAAAATCAGGATTATATTAAGATGTACATCTCCCTGCGTTAATAATGATTATAGTAAAGCTAGCGCATACTCAATTAGCCAACGTTAATTTACACGCTCAGACAGAGAAAATATATGGACAAATATATTGATCTAGACGAAAAATTGAAGAGAAATACGATGTATTAGGAAAATCCGCGAACACTGTGCCACAGTCAAACTACTGCTGGTATAAAAAAAAGTAATAATGATTTCAGGAACAAAAACGACTTTTTAGAACCATTAAAAAAGGCGACCCACCGGTTGAGGCTGCCTGCCTCTCCCTCTGGCAGGCGGCGGAGGCGGCGCATAATCGAAATAGTAATCTTCGTATCGATAATAGTCATCGTAATAGGGATCACTGTAGCCACCTCGATAATCCCCATAACCGTAATAGTCGTAATCATAATCTATAAAAACACACATTACAAATAGACCCAAATTTAGCCACGATATATCCAATTGACAACTTACTCAGATATAATAATACTATCTCAATATTATAAGAAAGGCATGCCGGGAAAAGATAATTTCGAAAATGCCAATATAATAGAAATAAAAGAGAAAGAAAAACAATCGTATATCGAAAATAAAAATATTTGTGCGGAAAATATGGTCTTCGACAAAAAGAAGAAAATAATTATAAAAACACTCAGTATATACAATACCGCACAAAACTGCGTAGTGATTACCCTACCACCATCACATTTCCTGAGATAGAAAATTGCAAGGCCATTCGAAAATTTCACATTTATTCCAGACAGAATATTACCGGAGCTTTAAAATAATCCTATTCAATAAATAAATAAATAAATAAAAGTATCTATTACAAATATTAAATAATAAATATAAAAGAATAACTTAATTCAGTAATAAAATGTAATTTAAAAATACGCAGATTCCTATCATTTCTAATCTTCAAAATTTCATCAGAACATTTATTGCTAGACATTTATAAAACCGAGGGAAAAGTGTGAATACTCTACAATTTAGAAAATATTTAAAACGGTAAATTGTAAAAAAAAAACAAGTTTGTAGACTTCGGTAGAGAAGATTAATTTTCGATGACCTCACAATACGAGTATGTATTTAAATTGGGCATTTAAGTTAACATAAAAAGGAAGAAAATACACAGTACTACTTATAATACTTTACAACTGTTGCATTCATCATTCATTATCACGGCTTACCTATTTCCTGGAGAGCTGTAAACAGATTTTTGAATTGATGATGCATCGTACTAGGTATACAAGGTTCACACACGCTCACGTAAACACAAATAAATGAAACAAAATTATATAAAAACAGTTTGACTTAGCGATGCAAGTGATATTCTGCACTACCACGAAATAATTCTCACTGGGGCACCAAACAAAAATACAAAACAGATAAGAAAATATACATGCAATTATCTTCTGGTTAAAAAAAAAAAAAAAAGAAACAGGTATCACACAGGAAGTGGTAGTGATAAGGCAATAAGGTGTTCATATTACACAAAATGCTAAGCACATATCTAACATACATATATGTTTTCATATACGTGTGTGTGTGTGTGTGTGTGTGTGTGTGTGTGTGTGTGTGTGTGTG